CAGCATTTATCCCCGTCATCTCGGTCTGNCCTCCTTGATGGAAACTGCCCCCAACAACTTATCCACCTCTTCATCCACAGCCTTCGCGTGATGAGGCGCCTTTCTCTGGGCCTTCTGCCTAACGGGTTTGAATGAGGGATTCACATGGAGCCGATGAGTCATCACCTCGGCATTTATCCCCGTCATCTCGGCCTGGGTCCACGCAAAGACATCGACATTTGTGGTGTAAAAATGAGGCCATATCATTTCTCTCTGCGTTGCTGAGTGACTCTCCTATCAAAAAGTACTTCTTACCATCATTTGGGCTCAGGAGAATCTTCACCAAGGCCTCAGTAGACCGATCGACCGGCTCTGTAATGGGCTCGTCCATTCCCGGACAATCACTTTGTAATTGCTATTTGGCAACCACCACATCAAGAATACGCTCCTGACTCCCATTTTCACCGCGACATAGAAACAGCTTTTCGTCAATGCTTGATCACCCCGGNCCAAGGCCTCAGTAGACCGATCGACCGGCTCTGTAATGGGCTCGTCCATTCCCGGACGATCACTTTGTAATTGCTATTTGGCAACCACCACATCAAGAATACGCTCCTGACTCCCATTTTCACTGCGACATAGAAACAGCTTTTCGTCAATGCTTGATCACCCCGGATTTCCATTATGTCCTACGGTGTTAGGAACTTTATCTTCTAGTGATAGGATGAGTGGACCACCTTTTATTACATGCAACTACGATCTCCCCATAATAGTGTTGTAAGGGGAGTCGGAGTCCATTACCACAAATTTCACTGGCGTGGTCACCACTCCCGCCCGTATCATGAGGGTGATTTTTTCAAGGGGCAGGGCGCTGGAACCATTGAAGCCAATGAGGGGGGTATTTACGGGTTTCAGATCCCCTTGAGAGAGTCCCATCTTATGGGAAGAGGTGATCGTACATCAACTCGGAAGAACTGCCCGAGTCCACCAAGATCCTCTTGACGTCAAACTTCCCGACCCGCAAAGTGATCACCAATGCATCCTCTTGGGGGAGGACCACCCCGTCGAGATCAACATCGAAAAATTGGATAACCTCGCCACCGCTCCGCTACTTCTTGGGCGGCCGCTCATCACCCTTTTCTTTCACCTTGACTGCTTGAGAGACCCTCTGTAACTCGGTGCGGAGGGAGTTGTATATAGGCCTCTCCACTGTGTAGGCATGAATAACATCAATCAACGGGTACTACCTCAGCTGGCACCTCGGCTCATTCCCTCGCCAACCCGCCGGGACGACCCCTGTCGATGAATTCCCCGAGGTGTCCGTCTTGCACCAATTGTTCGAGAAAGAATTTATAAACCTTGCAATCCTCCGTCAAATGACTGATATCTTTATGATACGAACATCGGAAGGTCGCATTCCTTGTCGACGGGTCTCCAAACATCCTCAGGGGCCACTTGAAGTAAGGCTTATTTTTAATTTTGGAAAGTATCTTGTGAATGAGCTCGTTGAAGACCANATAAACCTTGCAATCCTCCGTCAAATGACTGATATCTTTATGATACGAACATCGGAAGGTCGCATTCCTTGTCGACGGGTCTCCAAACATCCTCAGGGGCCACTTGAAGTAAGACTTATTTTTAATTTTGGAAAGTATCTTGTGAATGAGCTCGTTGAAGACCATGTTCACTCCCTAGAAGGATAGACAAGTTGGGGGTGGAACAGGCTCTCCCCTTCGGGCCGACTGCTCCCTTTCCCTCTTTCTCGGCACCGTGACCTTACTTTCGGGCGTGACGGATTCTTCCTCCACCCTAGCATATTTGTTAATCCGAGTCATCAACTCTTTCATGTCTGCCGGAGCCTTCTTAGTCAGCGATTTGTACAAATTAGTGTCCCGGGACAACCCCAGCCTAAATGACGTCGCGGCCAATGCCTCCAAACATACTTCCACCTCGTTCACTTCATTCCAATACCGAACAGCATATTGTCGAAGTGTCTCTCCCCCTTTTCGCCTAAGCGTTAACAGAGCGTTGATGTCCTTCGATTTCTTGCTGCTGGTGATGAATCGAGCTATGAAGAGCTCCGTCAATTGTTTATAGGACCTAACGCTCTCAGGAGCAAGGTTCTCATACCATCTCATGCATGTGTCCCCTAGGCTCATGGAAAAAACTCGGCACAATACCCTTTGGTCAATATCATAGATTGACATCAATTGTCTGTATTGTCAAAGGTGGCTCTCGGGATTAATTTTCCATCATAGACTTTGAACCGTGGGACAGTAAACTTCTTCGGCATTTCAGCCTCCCTAATAGCCCGGATGAACGGTGAAATAACTTCGTCGGAGTAGACCTCGGGCTCATAGTTGCGATAAGCCACGAAGGGGACCTTGGGATCCTTTTTTGATCTTTCTTCTCGAGGCCTTCGGGGTATGGACTCTGCTTGTGATTCGGCGGCTCTGACGCCCTCGGGTATCCCTCGGCGCAGGTTCCACCAGGACAGGCTTGCCTTTTGGCCTGATTCTGACTTTCCCTTCGAGGCCGAGAACCCTCTTTGGCAGTTACGTCCCTCGGGCAAGTGCCTAATCCAATCTTTCCTTGAGGGCCAATGCCAGGGGGCCTGGACAGGTTCTGGCTAGGCACTTGGTCCTCAAACCCGCAACTATGCTCCCCCACGCTCGCTGACTGCTCGAAATCGTCAAGACATTGCTGGACCTTGGCGTTTTCCCTTTCAAGTTGCTTAATGCGTTTGCCCATCTGCTTTTCCACCATCTCAACGATGTCATGGGCCATAAGGTCACACCCTCCAAGGCCCTGATCCATAGGGAGCGTTCTTTGCGAAAAATGTCCCACCCTATTTAATTGGCCCAAGGAACCTAGCTCCAAAACTATTGGAAGCCGGATGGGCTTTGCGTTCCTAGCCCATGCACTTGCTCCCTCACCCTGAGATCAAGTGTTCACCATCAGACGATCACTACTAGGAAAAATGCCTTCGTTCCCACAGACGGCGCCAAATTGCACAGGATAATTCCTGCAATAGTTTGAGACGGCGATCTCCAAGCTGGCGAACCTGAAACAACATGGTCAGAAAAAAGGGGGCCAGACGAGCGCCCGGCTAATCCCCTCCGAAGCTTAAGTCAGTATAAGACCGAAGAGTTTTGCTCAATGGACTATTTTTCTGATTCAAGTTTGCGTACCTTTGTCCATTTTTCTGAAGATTATTTATATCTAAATTAGCAATGATTGCCAAAAATCTCCAGTCCCATCTGGACATCTTATATCTGATATACCATTCCTCGTGCAATGAGTGTTTTCTACTAACGTCTCCTCCTATTAAATGCTAGGAAAATGAGGTAAATGCTCGGCCAAATGCTGAGCATTTATGCCACTCCCCTNGCCAAATTGCACAGGATAATTCCTGCAATAGTTTGAGACGGCGATCTCCAAGCTGGCAAACCTGAAACAACAGGGTCAGAAAAAGGGGGCCAGACGAGTGCCCGGCTAATCCCCTCCGAAGCTTAAGTCAGTATAAGGCCGAAGAGTTTTGCTCAATGGACTATTTTTCTGATTCAAGTTTGCGTATCTTTGTCCATTTTTCTGAGGATTATTTATACCTAAATTAGCAATGATTGCCAAAAATCTCCAGTCTCATCTGGACATCTTATATCTGATATACCATTCCTCGTGCAATGAGTGTTTTCTACTAACATCTCCTCCTATTAAATGCTAGGAAAATGAGGTAAATGCTCGGCCAAATGCTGAGCATTTATGCCACTCCCCCGAGTACCCAAATCACTCAGATCGGCATCCCGACATCAACTAAGCATTGAATACTCGGGGGGGAACAGTTCCTCAGGGGAGCCGACCGCGTCATCTCGGCGCATCAGCCCTTAATGCTTAGTCATCATGACGGTAGGCTTAGACTCCCAGAGGGTAAATGCTGTCAGGTGCGCATTTATTTGTTTTATCACTATCACTCATTCCATCATAAATAAGAGGTCACATCGCATTAAATACGATGTCAACTGTCGTACTCGCCTGCTCCGTGTCACCATATTTCGACTTACCTCCTCGGTGCCCTTTGAACATCCCAACGACTTCATTATTTCACGTGTCAACTNACTAAGCATTGAATACTCGGGGGGGAACAGTTCCTCAGGGGAGCCGACCGCGTCATCTCGGCGCATCAGCCCTTAATGCTTAGTCATCATGACGGTAGGCTTAGACTCCCAGAGGGTAAATGCTGTCAGGTGCGCATTTATTTGTTTTATCACTATCACTCATTCCATCATAAATAAGAGGTAACATCGCATTAAATACGATGTCAACTGTCGTACTCGCCTGCTCCGTGTCACCATATTTCGGCTTACCTCCTCGGTGTCCTTTGGACATCCCAACGACTTCATTATTTCACGTGTCAACCTATGGGCTATAGAGCCACCTAGAGTCCCGTCAACTCAATAAATTCACAGATGTCTTTATTAACAAAATAGATTATCATATTAGCAGTAGTTTCAATTTTCGCATAAAATTTTTAAAGGTTGAAATTATACCCAAAAAAACACAACCCGATTCGGACCATACTCGGCTTGCAGTAGGCGAGTAATTTATAGCGCGTGCCGGCGTGACATCTTTATTTATTACAAAACTTTCGGAAAAGGCATTTATTACAAAAATTCGGGTCCCACTAATAACGCCTTTTATCTCTGCCAGCCTTTCTCCTCCACCTTCTTCCATGTCTCCTCTCTCTCTCTCTCTCACTCACACACACAGACACACACACACATACGCATTTCCTCTGCTAAAATATAGTCATCCCATCCCATCCCATCAGCCAAANCTCCTCCTTCTTCCATGTCTCCTCTCTCTCTCTCTCTCACTCACACACACAGACACAGACACACACATACGCATTTCCTCTGCTAAAATATAGTCATCCCATCCCATCCCATCCCATCCCATCAGCCAAATTGATCTAAAACCTCAAAACCCACCAAAAAACACACACAGCGACAAAAACTTTTCCTATGGACTCAGAAGAGGAAAGAGATCAGGAGTACCTTTTCAAAGTAGTGATAATTGGGGACTCGGCAGTGGGGAAATCAAATCTCTTATCGCGTTACGCCAGAAATGAATTCAACATGCACTCGAAGGCCACCATTGGAGTTGAGTTTCAGACCCAGAGCATGGACATCGATGGCAAGGAAGTCAAGGCTCAGATTTGGGACACTGCTGGTCAAGAACGCTTTCGTGCCGTCACTTCTGCTTATTACCGCGGTGCTGTCGGTGCTCTTATAGTTTACGATATTAGTCGGCGTAGCACTTTCGAGAGTGTTGAGAGGTGGCTTGAAGAGCTCAATAGTAAGAGAAATTTTTGATTGATTATTTGTTATTACTTGGTTTTTGTTTGATTTATGAGAATGTGTAGGGNCTTATAGTTTACGATATTAGTCGGCGTAGCACTTTCGAGAGTGTTGAGAGGTGGCTTGAAGAGCTCAATAGTAAGAGAAATTTTTGACTGATTATTTGTTATTACTTGGTTTTTGTTTGATTTATGAGAATGTGTAGGAAAAAGGGTAAAAATTGGATCTCTGGATTGTGCTTGTTTCGATTTCTTTTGAAATTATAAACCCAAGTCAAATAGGCATGTGTCATGTTTAGTGATTTGTTTTTCTTTTCTTTTTTCATTTGGTTGATGAGAAAATGCAGGAAAGAAAATGGGATTTTGAGTTTTAGGTTCAAGGTTGCTTTTGAATGAGTAATCCAATTCAAATAGGAATGTGCTATGCCCAATCCAATGAATCCTAATCTTTTTTGTTGATGAGAAATATGTTATATTCTCGTTACCTATTTCGGGTTAATTGAGAAGCCTAAGCTAAATTGAATGAACAATGCTACTTGAACCTAAAATCCTGACCTTTCAATCAATGTCATTGAATTGATTCTGGGTCTGGTATTTGTTGGGATCCACCAACAATTTGAGGGTTATGATTGATTAGGTCAGCAAATAGGTTAGCATTTCAGGTCCAAATAGTATTTTTCAAATTGAATTGGCATAGTTGGGCAGATGTTTGTTTAGGCCACTTGAGTTATTGAGTTGAGGTGTGAAATTTGCTTACACAAAAAATGGGGGTCTAAGACTCTAAGGATCATGAAATTAATGTGGTTCTAGTAATTGGTTAGTTTTTCCGGCATTTTCTCAATCTCGGTGACAAATCGTAGATTAATTTTAGGCATATGCAATGAGGAGTACATTATAGTAACTTTATATTAACCTTGGTTATGATTTGTTTGATTTGTACTTTTAAATTTTTTTGGATTCTTTAATATGGATTTTTCGTGTTAATGATGGCAACTATTTGGTGATCTTAATGTTACAAGTTAAGTTGACTGAGATTTTGTGAGTTCTGATGCTCCAGGTTTTACTAATGCAGACTGTGATTTCACAATCTTAAACAAATCTAGGAATTTAATAGTCAATGTAAAGAAAATAAGAAAAGTATGGGGCTGTGATTAATTTTTCTTGTTCTTTGCTTTTTGGAATGCCTTTGTGGGGCATGATTCTTTATAGTGATCATTACTTATTGCACCTAACTATGACCTCTTCAAATCTGAATTTCTTTTTAGTTTTTAATATCACCAGTGGTAAACATTTTGATTGAATTTTATAAGCATATCAATTTGGTCGTTTTTACTTTACTATTTTAATTTTGTATTAGTATTTCCCTGCCCCGTTTTCAAAGATGCCATGTAAGTTGTACATATGTCAACCTCTTGTAAGTACTAGCTTATGAAGTGGTCAAATCTTCCAATAATTTTCTAGCCATTGGAGTTTGTTAACAATTCACAAGTGATCTTTCTGCCAAGTTAATTTGTGATAATGGGATGAATGAAGACTCAGTTGTGTGAAACATCAATTGAAATTCTTGACACTGATTTTCATATTTGCGTTATTTATATTTGGTTTACGATTTCAAATGCCCTCAATCAATTCTATTTAGCATTTGTAGTTTCCTTTTTCCCCTTGTGACCATCTTTGCATGCTCCATTGTTTTGCAATAGATAAAACAAAATACTCTCTATATTTTCTGCCAAATTCATGAAGTACAAGTGTTACTGAGTTTATATGATGTATTTGTTCATGACTTACTTCTGTAAATGGCACCATGTTTGGTGATTCGATTCAGGGCTCGCATTTATATGATTGATTCAGTTGGTATGCATGAACCTCACTCTCCTATTCATGATCTTCTAGCCTATGCAAAATTTCGTGTACAATTTTGTTCTGCGGTTCTTAGATTACTTATATATTCTTGACGTTGCTGCTCAAGCCCCTACATTTTAAGTAAATTGTCTAGTCTATGGTTTAGGGTAAATGTACTCTTCAGTAAATAGTGAATCTTTTCATGTTTCTATATTTTCTTCCCATCTGATTGGATTGTAGTTTCCATATCTCCTCCATAGGTGGTAGTAGTTGTAACTCTGGTGAACCAAGGTTAAACATTTTGTTGGATTGACACTTTTAGATTAGTCCAAATGATAGGGTTTCACTTATTATTTTGAAGTGGTCAACTGGTACCCCTGCTCAAGGAAACTAAAAAAGTTGGGTTTGATAAAAGTAGCCTGACGTGGTCATGGAAAAGTTTTATCCTTGTTTATATGGTACAGAGATACAAGAGAAAATAAGATAAAACTTTCCTGCTTATCACCATCTCATCTTATCCAAACTACATTGATAGTTATAGATCTATTTGGATCCTACCCTATCTCTAATAAGGGATAGGAGTGGGGGAGTTGCAGAGAGTGTGGGTGATTGATGGTGGGTTTTTAGGGTGGAGAGGGAAGGGGTTTGTGAAGGCTGTATGTGGGGAGAGAGACAGAGAGAGAGAAGGGGGGGGGGGGGGGGGGGAGATG